ATGAATTGTGAGGTGGTGTGGCAACAAGAGGGCAAAAACAACAACATTATTTTCTTAGGGAGGTTTTGACAGAGTCACTGAACAAAGTCAGGTGGCACTGTAAAACACTTCCCTGAAGGATAGACCAGGGGCACTGGACACTCTAACTAGATCCAGCTTGGCTGCTCATAACTCTGCGGGCTTGGCTTCTCTGAGCCTCAGTTTCCTCATGTGTAAAGTGGGGATGATAACACTGTCACCTAAGATTGTTGGGTAGATTACAAGAGAAAAAGGGAGGAAAGTGCTTGGCAGAGCATAACTCATTTCTAAGCAGTGGCAGCTACCTTTACTATGTCTGTTTAAACAAGGGCAATATCTCTCCATAGAGCAGTTCAGGCTAAGGGCAGGGAAGGAGAGGCCATGAGAGAGGATGGTGAACCAGGGGACAGGAAGTCTGTCTGTGAGGAGGCTGCCCAGAATCCAGCTTCTTCCCTCAGACGCCCACACCCCTTTCTTGTTGCTGCTCACTTGTTTGGCCCTCTACAACTTTCTCAGCCTGGAGACTGGAGACTCCATTGTTCTCTGAAGGAGCAACTGAGACTTTAGGGAGGGAAGGAGGAGTGCTGAGCTGTGGTTCTGGCTCTAGCAAAGTCACTGAATCTCTCTGGGTCCCTGTTTCCTTACCTGCAGGCATGCCCACCTTGTAGGGTGTTGTCGTAGGGATGAAATGATTTGAGTTGTAAGCTAAGAACAGTGATAGGGATTTGGCAATCACTGTGCAAGTGTTTGTTAAATCCAGTCATGATAAGGTTGCACTCTACAATGACTGACCTACGTCACAACCAGTGCCTGACCTATAGTACCTAAATAGCCATTGAATAAGTACATGATCAAATGAATGAGTGAATAAATGAGGTGTGCACAATATACAATAATACAGGGGGAAAACAATGTATCAACGTTAGCTAGGATTGATGCTAGCAGGATGAGAATCACATGGACTCAAGTCCTGGGTTCACTACCAAAAGTCAGCAAGTGAGCCCTTCATCCTATTTATGAAATAGAACAATTAACCCTACCTATCAGAAACCTGGGGATTAAAGGAGAAAATATGAGAAGTCACTAGGAGCCTATATCTCACCAATGAATGCAGAGGAAGGCTGAAGACTGGAAAGGCAGAAGTTGGCAGAGGGGCAAGGGTCCTGTCCTGCTTCCTCTGGCTCTTGGGGCAAAGCAGGGAATATTGATTCTTGGAATTCTGACTCAGCTGCACCCCACTTTCCATCTAACTAGGCTCCATCTTCTTATCTCCCTAAGTAAGGCCTATAACTTGTGTCACTAAGAGCTTGTAGGAATGGATGAAATCCTGGAATCCCACATTTAGGCCATAAAGCCCAATAGGGGCTGGTCTGCACTCCATCCCTGCCTTAAGGCTCTAACTCCAAAAGCTTAGTGGGTGGAGGCTTGTTTCTGCCCTTTTCTGCATCTACTCCAAGTCTTGAGAGCCGAGACCCTAGAGGGGAAGGCAGGCTGGAGAATCAAAGAATCTGCCCCAGGTGAACTAGAGACCTAACCAGTGGGGGTAGGGACAGGAAGAGCTACTCTTAGGGACAGAAGGTCTCAGGCTGTATGGAGACAGGACTACCTAAGGTGGGTCCAGGTGAACATGTAGGCTCCGGAGCAGCAAAGTTCCTATGGGGGCTGTGGAGGTCTGAGAAAGAGAAGGAGGAAAGGAGGTGCTAGGTGGAAGTATCCAATCAGTCATGTTAAGATAGGAGTGAGTGACATGCCAGGCAAGGCTGGCATAGCCATCAGGGATGACCTGAGAGTCTAGCCAGCCAGCCAGCTTGTTCTGTATTTCTTTCATCTAAGCCTGTGAGACAGGTCTAGGTAGAAAGGGGGAGGCTCTGGGAGAGTTAGAACTAGGATCTTCTGAAGCTGGGGGCATCTCAGCACTGAGACCACCATCTCAGAATCTGAGGCTGTGGGAAGGAGGAGCTAGAGCAAGGATGCTGGGGGAGAGGGACCTGGCAGCAATCTCAGGAGAGGTCACATGGGAGTTAGGACAGTATAAGGGACCCAGAAGCCCTAGAAGATAGCCAGCTACTCCCCAGGCCTCTCTGAGTGGATGTGCTTTGAGAGCTGGCTGTGGAATGTGAGCCTCTCTGGGCCTTTGTTTTTCTCCCCTCTCCCCTTCCTAGCATGCTTCAGAATTGGAGACGATGGTACTGCCTGAGGCTTTGGGCAGCCCATCGTCCAGGGTGGGAAGCAACAGGGGCCAGGCTGCTGGGTCAGAAACTCAGCTCAGAATGGACACTTGGAATCCACACATACATAAAGGGATGTGGGCGGTGCTCACATGTGTTTGGTGTTGTAAGGACACATCCACGCCCACATATGAGCAAAGGCTGCCAACACTGGGCCTCAGACCCCTGGGTGTGTGGCCAGGAGGGATGAAGTCAGTCTCTGAGAATCTGCCCTGGGCTCCCACACCAGGCCTGGGGGGCTGATCTCAAGTACAAGGCTTGGACTTCACTGGGCTGGGATTTTCCATGGTCCAAGTCTAGCAGGGTGGGGAGAGAGGAACCAATAGTGGGGGAGACTAATGGCCCCCTCTCTGGCCTCTTTTTGGGCCCGAAATTAGCCTGTACCTCAACTCTATCCTCATATGCTATCCCCTCAAGGTTAGGGAGGGGGCACTTGGAAGATATTAACCACCATCCCCTGAGTAGTGCTTAGACACCTCCTCCTCTGAGAACTCGGCTCTGAATTTCTGGAGTAGAGCCACTTGGCGTTACATCACAGAAGCCCCCTCCCCCTCATCTGATCACTCTCAGCTCCAGCTCCTGTGGTTTTCAAAGTGGGATTCAGAACCCAACTCAGGGCTGCGTTACGGATATGACAGAGTGGGTGCTCCTCCTGGCTGAGGGGGCCCCTCCTCTGGACTGCCACAGCCCCTGTTCCCACCAACATGTCCCCTTTGCTGTTCTTAGCAGGGCAGAGCTTCGATTTGATACAAATCAGCCTGCTCATCTTAAGAATATAGTCTTCAGGGAAGAAATATCTTTGACTCAAAATTAACTATGGGACTCAGTGCCAGTGTCCAGAGGCCTTTCCGGGTATCAAGCACCTCACCCCAGCTATGGCCCTGCCTTGTCCCATCCTCTTCTGAACCTTGGGAATCCACAAGCCACAGAGGGGCCCTAGAAAACTCACTGGCTTGAGGCCCAGATGTGCAATCCCAGGCCTGCCTTTGCCAGTCTTGTGGCATTTGAGGCCTCTGTTTTCTCCTGGGCCTAGAGGTGAGGCCCTGCTGGCTGAGCTGTGCATTGAGGTCTTGCATTCTAAGAAAAGCAGCCACAAAAGTCAAGCACTTGAAAGGTAAAACATCCTCTCCTCCAAGGGGCTCCTTGGGGGCAGTCAGCACAAAGCTATAATAGGCCCTGCAGCAGGCAGCGGCAAGCTGGTGAGGATCTGGAGGCACATCATAGAAGCACATCCCTTTTTGCCTGATTCATCCCTAGCTCCTGCTGTTTTCAAGGCTCAAGGCTGAACTGTGGCTATGACAGAGTGGGTGCTCCCCTGCCTTCGACTACAGTAAACCCTCAACAGAAGTCCTTCACTGAGGCCATCTTGACTGGAGACAGCCCCGTGCTGACAGAGGCTGAGGAGCAAGGCTGAAGCTGGGCACCAGCACCCTTGGGTCACTTAGACTCAGCCTGGTAGGGAGCAGAGAATTGTGGGCAGAGGAAATGAACCTCACGGTGGTCTGTGTTTGTACATCAGGAACTGAGTAGAAACCTTGACCAGAGAGCAGACAGCCCTGCAGGGAGAACAGCAGCAAGGAGATTCTAGGACAGCAGAGGATGGGCTTAATGGTCATCCAGCCCTAGCCAGACCCAACAACAGTTGGTCCTTGTCATAGTAACAGCACATGTGGAAGCTGCCCATCTGGAAGAAGAAGACTGGCCCACCCGGAGCCCTCACATGTAGATGACCTGGCCTTCCCAAGAATAGGTCACATCTTCACCCCTTGGGAAAGTTAGAGGGTGGCCTGTCCACAGACACTTCCTGGAACTCTCCCTCAGAGCCAGGATTAAAGTGGGACACTGGCCCGGGTTATGCTTCAGGAGACACCAAAAAAACTCAGTGCCTAAGATAAGTAATATTTAATATAATATTTAGAAAGTAAAAATAACGCAAAAATCTGTGATGAAAAAATATACAAGTATTCAAATTTCAAATAACAAGGCCCATACTGATTTTTCAGTTTGCCTCAGGCTTATTATGGAACCATTACTGACTCTATTTAAAATCTGAACATATTTATTCTTAACAGATTTTGGGGGTATTTTGAATGCACTGAAATATTACTTATCTTCATCACTCGGTTATTTCAGTGCCCACTTAAATTGTGTGCCCAGACCAGTGCCTCACTGGACTCTGGCATCCCAGTCTTGTAGTCACCCCTACAAGGTCTCCAAGTCATGCCTGGGTAAGGGCTGCTCTCTGACCGCCTACTTACCCAGGGCTAGTTCACATAGACCCAGGAATGGGGAATACTCTGCACCTCCAGATGCCTTCTGACCTTAAAGATCCAAGGTTCCCATCCTCCTTTGCCCAACTCTGTGCACCAGCTTGGGGCAGCTCCAAGGGGGTTAGGAAATGCCCTAATGGGGGGAAAGAGACTGGGAGAAGGGCTCTTTCCCTTTGTCCTCAGGTGACCCCAGGCAGGTTTGTAAGGCGCTTCTTCCTAAAGCCTGGCTAGTCCTTTCACCCACTACCTGAAAGCTAGGGTCAAAGCCCATACCTGCCTGGCAGGCCATTAGCCACGCTAGATAATGGGTTGATTCCGGGTAGGCTGGGAGACAGGCACAGTGGAGGTGTTGGCTACAGAGGCTTTGCTCAGCAGGGAGGCCCTTGGTAAGGAATGCAGGAGTCTGTACCCCTGGGGTGGGGGGAAGCGTTGACCAGTGACCCGAATATCATTTCCGGCCGAGGCGCATGGGGACGGTACTCACCGCGACCATTCTGGTTGGGTCTGTACACACTACCCACACTGAGACGGCCCTGCTGCGCGCCGTTCCGCTCCCCACCCGGTGGGGGCGCGTCGGAGCTGCGCACCGGCAGGTAGGGCGGCTCCAGCACGCGGAACGGGGGCTGCGGCTCCACTGCACGCGGCGGGACGTAGGCCTCGGGCGGCACGTTGGCGGCGTAGGGCGGGTACCAGCCGAGGCGGGGATCGCCGGCATAGGCGCCGCCCGCGCCGTTGGGAGTCTGTGCCGCATCGGTGCTGGGGTCGGGGTAGGCCTGCTCGAAGCCCGCTGTGCCTTCGTTGTACAGGCTGTGCGAATAGCGGCGATCGAGGCCGTCGGAGGGCTGAGGCTGCGGCTGCGGCTGCGGCGCATAGGGCCTCTCCGGGGCTGGATAGAAGCCCTGGGCCGGGTACTCGGGCTGCTCCTCGGTGCCGCCGTAGTCCTCGTAGCGCGCCCGTGGCTGGAAAGGGTAGATGACCCCCGCCGAGGCCACGGCCGCCGCCCCCGCGCCCATGCCGCCTCCAGCACCGCGGTAGTACACGTAGCCCTGGTCGTAGGTCCGCGACGCGGGGTCGTAGTTCTCGTACTGGCTCACGAAGGGCGCCTGAGGGAAGGGGAACTGCTGCGGGTAGGAGGACGGCTGGCGGTAGGTGCTGGCGAAGGCCGAGGCCGAGGCCGAGACCGAGGAGGAGGCGGAGCCCCCGTGCCGTTGCTGGGAGACGGAGGTGCGGGCCCTGGCCATGCCGGTGCTGTCCCCGACGGCCACCTCGCGCCAGTTGTCGGGCACCTGGCCGAAGCCGAAGGGGTGCCGCGTTTGGCCGCGCACAGTGTCCGAGCCCACGCGTCCTGGCAGGGGCAGGGACGGCGCTTGCCGACGCCGGAGCCCCCCCTGGCTGCGCCGGTGCGAAGTTTGGGGTGCGCCCGCCAGCAGTACCCGGGAGCTACTCTCGGCTCGTTGAGGCCCTGCAGGCACGTACTCGGAGCCCGAGTTGAGTAGGCTATACACCTGCCCATTGTTCTCCCACTGGATCAGCTGCCGCCAGCGCCCCGGGTCCGAGCCCTGTCTTGGTTGTGCTTGCTGTCCGTGCACCAGGGCGCACAGGCAGGCGCCCCACACCAGGGTCACCAGCTGCCTGCCGGCTTGGGCCAGAGCCATGGTGGCCCCTCTGCAGTGGCCTGGTGGGCAGAGAGGCTCTCAGGAGTGGGCCCCGGTGCGTGCTTCTCTTCCCACGGCCTCGAGGACAGGACGGCTCCTTGCCTGCCCAAGCTCTAGCTTTGTCCATCCTGGCCTTGTCCCGAGCGGGACGGCTCCTCCGATGACAGCATTTCGAGGCCAAGGGGGCAGGGCAGGGCAGGGGCGGTGCCCAAGGCCGCAGGAGGCTTTCCGCAGGGCACGGGCAGGCAGGACCGCCTGGGGGCCTTACATGGTCAGCCGCACACTGGCTGACCGCTCGGCTGGCGCTTTCCCACTGTGAATGAATAAGCAACAGGCTAGGAACGTCTGGAGGTTTAGGGAGCCTGGTCCGCCTGTTGGGGCCGCCTCCGCGAGGCCCTATGGCCCGCCGGGTTTTAGCTATGTGGTCTGTCCCATAGCTGCAGTGCTCTCTCAGTCTAGGCAACTCCAGGCCAAGCCACAGACCTGCCTCTGAGGAAGAGAATGAGGCAGGGAGTAGGAGGGGGCCCTTGGGGACTCAGGCCTGGTAAGTAGGGCTCTGGCAAGCACAGCAGCATTAGGGTGTGGGCATTACCCTGCCTTGGACTCAGCATCCCTGGACTCCACATTCCTCATTGGCTTTACCATTTCCCTTGTCCTCCAAAGCCAGTGATAAACCTTCCTGGCACCTCTCTGGGGCAATACCTCTAATTGGGGCCACCCTCTGGACCTAAGTACAAAGGCACTTTTTCCCTGCAGGGCTCACCCTCCAAACCTATAGACTGGCGGGGGGGGGGGTGGTGAGAGGGGGGAGTCCCTGACTGAACAGGGCTTGGGACTCACACATATTGAGTGGTTTCTGTCCTGCATCTCTTGAATCTATAGCCAGAAATAATATGGATAAAATGAAACCAGTATCCTGCTGGTATGGGTAGGGTCATTGTCAAAGAGAGAAACTTGTAAGCATAAAACAGCAAAAAGGAACACCCTAGACAACTGTGACTGTAATAAAGTTGCTGGGTGATCTTGAGGAAGTCCCTGCCCCCCTCTGATCTAGTTGCCACATCTGATCAATGAAGGATTAGTCCACATGGTTCCCTGGGTTCTGGCAGATTCTCTGTTTCTTCTTCTAGGGATGGCAGGGATAAAAAGGGCCCCAGAAGTTTCTACTTCTTTCCTTGCTGTTCAACCCTAATGCTGCTTTACAGGCCTCCCCTAGATTGTCTTCTCCAGCTGTGTCCTTGGGAGCTGGAGGACAGAAATTGCCCTCTTAGGCTGATAAGCCTTCAAAGTAGGAAGAACCCACCCTCAACTTGTTGCCTTCTGATTCTGTTTTGAAAACTCCTGGAGCCCAACTAAGAAGGAAGCAACCAGAGTGACAGTCCTTGGGAGCAAGGACCCCAGTGTCCACCATCCTCACTAGGAAGCATTTATTGACCCATTCACTGTTCTTGAGGACTGGGGCTTCATTCAAGTAGTACAGGGCATTAGATATCCATAATCTAGCCAGAGGAGTGGGGACTTGCAATACCATGCCTGTCAATGCTCACCTTAGCTCCCAGAGTCTGGAGTCCTTGAATGGTTTGGGTGAAAAGAAAAAAAAAAAGCAAGATGCCAATGTTTAGCACACTGAAGCCCGGGACCTGGAGGGTTAAGCTTTGCCTCCCTTCTGCTTGCCCCCTGCAATGTTGGCCTCAGCTGCTTGGAATCCCTGGGGTCCTATAGAGCCCTCCCTCAAGCCAGATGGGCAGGAGAAGAAGTGGAAACAGGCCTTAGGGTACCCTCAGGCTTGGAGGGAAGGAAAGAAGAATGGAGGGAGGATGCAGGATGGTTGGGAGGTGGGGGAGCTGTTAGCAGGACCCTGCTTTGCTAACCATAGGGGAGAGCGGTGGGGAGGCTGGCAATGCCTCAGGGCTTTGGGGTAGAAAGATCAGGGCACCAGCAGTGGTGCTCAGCCGCTGCTCTGCTGGGAGCCAACTCTTGGCGAGAAACCCTAACCAGAGCTGGCTCTGGGTCCTCTTTTTTCTTAATAAGGTCGAATCAGAGTGAGTCAGAAGAGCCAAGTTTCCTGTTAGGCTCTATTTGAATAAACTCTGCTCTGAACAGAGCTTGGGCCTCTGCACAGAATCTGTGGGCCAGGACTGTGGTCTTGCCAGCCATTCCTGCTGAGGCCAGAGCTCTGGGGTCCACAGAATGGCTTGAGCCAGAGACCTGGCCTAGCTGGCCTCTCCCCAAGGAAGCTGCAGCCTCACAGCCTCACCTCTGACCTGGGAGGAAATAAAGCTTTTCTTGTGGCTGATTTGGGAAGAAGAAATGAGGGGATTATGAAAAGTATCCAGCACAGTGCCAGACATGTGGCCCCTATTTTCTTCCTGTCCTTTTATAAGAGGAGGGAGGGGTTTATGGAAGGTGACCTGTACCCCATTTTTCCATCTCTTTCCTGTTTTTATCCATCTGCTCCTTCCTTGTGCAAGGTAGAGCTGGTTCTTTTCCTTTCTCCCCTTTGCTGGAGCCCAGGAGGCCTGCTTGTTTCCACCTCTCCACACACAGAGACAGGATTTTGCCTTCAAGGCTGTAGATGTCCCAGCATCCCAGCACTCCTAAATTGAAACCTGCAGCACTAGGGGAGGAACTTGACAACCTGTAGGAGACTGGGTCAAATGAGGGCCTGGACCTACCAACCTGGACTGGGCTAAGGGGAGGCATCCTACAGGCTATGGTTCCCACCCATGCTTTTAAGACCCAGGCATGTAGTTGAGGCATGCTGCCCATTCCTGGCACTAAGAACTAGTCTCAAGGGATCCTTGGAGGTCTCGTGACACAGGGCTAAAATAGCTTGTGTCACCATATTGTTATACTGATCTTTACTTACAGTGTGTTCGCCTACGTGCCAGGGCTTCCATGGAGTGGCATTGTCCTGTGACCCTGAGATGAAACTCCAGGTTCTGGGGCTACAAAGATGGCTCCATTGGTAAAGTGCTTGTCTTGCAAATACAAGCCCCTGAGGTCAATCCCTAGGACTTGAAAAAAATCCCTAGGACATGTGAAAAAGCCAGGCATGAAGGTACATGTTAGTAACCTAGTGATAGGGAGGTGGAGATGGGAGGATCCCTGGGGTTCCATGGCTAGTCAACATATCCTAATTGGAAAGTTCCAGGCCAGGAGAGAGACCCTGTCACCTAAAGTGCACAGCATCTCTGGCCATAGCATGTACACACATGTGTCCACATATAAGCATGAACACACTTTTACAAAAGAAACTCCTTTCGGGGGGAAACCTATGGGAGAAAAAGGTCTAGCCAAGAGTTTAGGGAGCAGAGAAAGGATGGACACTGTGGGGTGTCCCACTGCTTTTAGCAGAAAGGAGGTAAACTACATCAGAATTTTCTGTGGATGAGGGGGTGAAGGTAGGGTCTGAGGGTCCACTGCTTTCTGTCAGGGCCTGTCTGGGTCTCCCATCCTTCCCATGACCCTTGATGACCCAGGATAGGCAGCTTAGGAGAGGCCACTGATGAAATTTGTACTGAACTGGGACTCCAAGCCCCAAGCTGGCGGCAGGGGACTGTGTAGTCCCAGCTGCTGCCTCCGGATCCTGGGCTGGAGGAAGTGCTGAGTGAGGAGGCCGGGTGAGCTGGCACAGAAAATGCTGGCTCTGCAGGGAGAGGACCACCAAGTGACCACTGCCAGCTGGGCCCTGCGCCCACCCATCCCCCCACAGCCACATCTGGCACAACAGTGAGGGAGGAGGGGCAGTAGAGGACTTCAGTCCCCACAGCCAAGACAGACATGGAGGGGGCCCCAAGGAAGGGGCTGAGGCCCTTTGGCTTGGCAGTGTCTTTCTTTAGGGATAGAACTCCAGAGAAGAAGTAGGGGAGATGAGGTCAGAGTCTTTTCAAGGGGTAAATGGGGGAGGAACCCAGAGAATTCTGTTGCTCTGGTTACTTCTCCCTCAGTTTTCCTTCCCAGCTGTCTTTGGACCCCCTCCCCAAGGTTCTTGGAATAGGACAGCGTGGGCATTAAGGCCAGACTCCTCAGAGACAGGAAGCTTCCTTCTCTCTTCAGACTTTCTTCCCTGGCTCTGGGACCTGCAGGATTTCAGGAGGAAGGCCAGTGAGGAGGGGGATCACTTACAGGAAGCCTGTCTTGGTGGAGGGACTTTCCTGTGATTACTAGAGCCTGCTGGGTAGGAGAGCCCCATTTGTCAAAGTTCTAGGAATGGGCATGGGCCTGCCAAAGTAAAGGGGGCAGCGGTGTCCCCTGCCCAGAGGAGAGAGCTGGCAAAATCAAGCAGGGTGCCAGGCCCTTAGGCAGAACTAGCAGGGAAACTCAATCTCTCTCTCTCTCTCTCTCTCTCTCTCTCTCTCTCTCTCCCTCTCTCCCCTTGCTCTCACTCTCTCTTGCTCTCTGTCTTGTTCTCTCGCTCTCTCTCTTGCTCTCTCGCTCTCGCTCTCTCGCACACGTGCACTCTCGCTCTCTCGCTCTCTCTCTTGTTCTCTTTCTCTCGCTCTTGCTCTGGTTTTGTCTCTCACTTCGATCTCCCTAGGTTTCTCCAGCGTTACGTTTCTTTCAGTACCCTCCCCGCACCTTCCCCTTCTGAGTCATTTACTCATTCACTCCTCTGTGCTCTCCATCTGTTTCTGCTTATTCCCATCCCTCCCTCCCTCTCACTGCCTCTGTGTGCCCATGTGTCTCCCACTTCTTCCTTCCTTAGTCCACTCAGTGTGTTCCCTGGGTACTGCCCAGTGCCAGACCTTTGTGTTGGACACAAGAGTTACAGAGATAGGCCAGATCCTCCAAGTCCTTGAAGAGCTCCCAGGCTAGTGAGGGTAATGCAAGGCACAGTTCTGGGTAGAGGTGAGAGCACTGGCTCTCTGTGAACTTTGACAGGCATTTCTCTTCCTGTTTATGTCTATCTGTCCGTTAATCCATCCATCTCTGTCCACCGATACTGTCCTGTTCTACTAACGTAAGGTGGCCTTTTCTAGCTGCTGCAGGATAGATACCTGCAATTTGCTTCTTTCTTTCTGGTAGGGAAAAGTAGATACACCAGGGGGAAGGTAGGTAGTCTAAGGTGAGGGTGTGGGTGGGGAAGGCACGCTCTGGGACAGGTTCTGCCCTAAGGATGTCATCCAGTGGGCTTGGAGTCTACTCCAATGGCATCTCTTTGCAGGCAGCTCTTTGTGAGTTGGGATGATGGTCCTGGGCATGAGTTAGGTGCATGCTGCAGGACTGGAGAGTGAGGTCTCCTACTGTTGGTATTTCCTGGACTTCAGTGTGTGCCACCCCCATTTCAAACTCTGAAGCCCTTGCTGGAGATGAGTTTTGCTAGGATGG